AGTTTTCTTCAGCTTAATTTGGGTTCGTTCCCAAATTCTCTCTCGGAAATCGGTCGACCATAAACCCTAAACCCTACGAAGAGACAGTGTTTGACAGAACTGAGACTTTAGCAGACAAGGAAGGCGCTAGAGAGAAAAAAAAAAACTTTAAACCGGTTGAGGAACAATCGAGTTTTTAAGGTCAATCGAACCGAACAGATTAAAACGGTTCTGTCAAAAAACGAACCGGATTGCCCAAATTCAATTCGGATTTTGCATTTGTTCCTTTAGATCTCCGGTATAATAGAACGTAAATTGATTTTGCCATTTTCAGGAATCGCCAAGAGCCAAGCAGATTGGGGTAAGCTGTGACCTATAGATACAGAGTTTTGAATTCAAATGATATTTTTTTTTTGTCAATTAACGAGCTTAGCGTTATGATATGTCCTCTTGATTGAGGAGTAGGAGGATTCAATTCCATTTTCTGCATTATCGGCTTGAACAGTTTGATCTGATCCATCTTTGAGTAGTTACATGAACATAGGAAAAATGGTTTTTTTACAACAGTCTGGTGGTACCTTTGAGATATCAAGAAACTCGACTGAGCAATGGTTACAGAAGGAAGAATGTAGTATCTAAAATATACTGCTGCTTAATCTATCACTGAAACCGAGATAAGTCGTTCTTCAGAACATGGCTTGCTACAATGGCATTTGTCTTCTCTGTTGGGTGAAATGAGTCCCAAAATACATATCTGCTTGCATCAGAACATGTGAAAGGATTCATTTTGTCACACAAGTAACTCATCTCGTAGTATCCTGTTCCGCAGCATGCACTCCTTACATTATGAAAACCTGCGATGGGATGCAATTAGGACGAGTATTATGAGGAAAGAGTTGTTCATGGTGGAATATAAATGCTTTTGTTAGAACTTTGAACTAACCGAATGCTTCAGGGTGGTTTATGATTTGTGAAACCAGGTCATACGGATTTGAAAACACCAGCTGGATTCCGATCAGCTCGCTGTTCAACTTGGAGACTTTCTCGTTCAACTTGGTGTTGAAATCTCTAGCTACGGTGTTGTATTCTTCGATACATTTGCTTCCATAAAATATCTGAGTTGTTCTTTCCAGGGGTAAGCATCCGAAAGGAGAGAGTCCCGACAGAGACATCTTACGAGCTCCGAGTCTGTAAATATCTGTTATGAAATCTCCTGCGATTTCTATCAGGAAATTTTGGTACTGGCTCACAGAATACCGCCTTAACTTGCGGGGAACAAGATAGTAATTCTCTAGGAAATCGTTGGTTCCGATACTAATCAGGTAAAGTGCTTCCCCAATAATCTCATTAGCTTTCTCTTCGCCCAAGTAACTTCTTAGCCTGGTCTGGTATTCTTTATAGTACTCCACTTCCTTCCAAAGCGGCATCACAGACTGTACAAGTCGAAAACATTTCAAAGAAACCATGTCAGTAACTTTTGAGCTCTCCAGGAGTACAACAAAAATCTAAATTCATTACTATTAGACCTTATGTTTAAGATATGCTTGACTTACTAACACAGAAGCGGTTGCATTGTCTAAGCCGGTTCCAGCTGAAGCGAAACAGACACCAGTGGCAAAGTCTATGATGTTGTATGCTGGATCTAGGTACGCAGGGACTGCGTTCTTGAGTCCCAAACCTTCAGATATGAAATCTGGTGCAATCCGACCATTTGAGAATCTCCCGGTCGGTTTGCCGCCAAAGTAATCCCGGCCATATGGTTGGAAATTACTCTTTAGAACCGTAGAAATCTGGTTGTTGTTGCCTGAGTCCACAGTTGAGTCCCCAAATACGATAAGTGCTGGAACTTTCGCACCCGTTTCAGGTATCTGCACGAAGAGCTGAGCTGCGAACAACAAGAAGGCGAGAACTCTGTTTGGAGGCATACTTTTTTTTGGGCTCTGCAAACAAGAACCTCACAAGTGATTGGGAAGAACCACCTGAGAAAGAAAGGAAGGAAGCAGTTAATTACTGGGAGAAAGAGAGGTATGTAATTACTATCGAACCCGGCGCAAACAGATTTGTCCCTTGTGTGGTTAATAGAGCTTCGTCCTTTGTTAGATGATGCTTATTAAATATCCTAATTCTGTTTTGCCTCAATTTAATTGTTGGCCACAGAGATTGGTCTGGAGTTAGTTGAGGTGAGTAAAGAGCCGAAAATGATGAATCTCATTATTAGCTTTGAGCAATGAGCCTTATTAATGTAATAGGAACAGCTACTGAAAAGAGAGAGAGAGGTCAAGAATTACCTCAAGTAGAAGGATTTATGCTCCTGCAAGCTTCAGATATGTAACGCCTGTTCCTTTTACTGGATTCACTCACAAAGCTCTACTCTCTGGTCTTGTCTCTTTTACTTTTGTTTTTTGTTTGGCGTAAAGGGTCTTGGATTTAAATATTGCACGTTTTGGGGCTTTTTAGTTCAACCATAGGTTTGGTTGGTTTAACGACAATAACAGGTAACGGCAAGAAAGTGTCTCTCATGCGTCAAATGTGATATCTTATATAATAATTTCCTCTTTTAAAAACTTCTCTTCCTTTTTTAATATTTTGTAAGAATTCAAATGGAAAGTAGTACAAGTTTATAAAAATTAAATGATAAAAATGAAAAATCTATTGAAAATAAAGAAATTTTAGAAGAAATTGCAAAAAAAAAAATATTTTCTAAATTTTCTTAAAACTATACCTTCCTTTTAAAATATTTTTGTAAGAAATAAATGGAAAATGAATTTAGAAGATAAAGAAAAATGTATATAGCCAAATTGGAAGTTTAAGAGTTTTTTTTCGATATTTTTGGTGATTAGTTTCTTTTTGAACAAAGATTATAGTAAAATGAATATTGCCTCTTTTAAAAAGTTATCATCATTTTTAAATATTTTGTAAGAAATTAAATGGTAAGTAGTAAAAATT